CAAAGCAGACTTCAGATGGAGTTAATCTAGTAGTGGAATGTGGTTACAAGCCATTATAGCTTAAGGCATAATATAAGTTACATCTGTAAATGTCTGCTCGTACTTAGCAATACGATATATTTCTATTATTGTTGAATGAAAACGTTCTATAGTGCCTGTGGAATTAGGATTATTGGATGTTGGCATGTGAAGATCTATTTTATACATATTTGTAATCATTCGCATGAGCTCATTGTTAAACTCTTTTTCAGGGTCGCAAGTTATTTTTTTTTAGGTACAACATATGATGAAAAGTATCCTTTATGGGCTCGAACTACCCCAGGTGTGCATCTATTTGAGATTCAAATGCTTCACCTAATTTACTAAAAGCATCGATTAAGGTAAGAAAATATTTATTTTCTATGGAAAATAGACCTATAAAATATTTCTATTCTGAATCTGTGTTAATTGCAACACTGGTCTAATTGGTTTTCTATCATGTTTAGAAATCTTACAGGACAAACAGTTAATGACAATCATTAACTTCAGCCGAAACTGTTACCTGCATTTTATCCAAAATATTTCCTACGTATGTATGGTTTCCCTTATACCACGGTGGCATGTTTTACACTCGTGATGTTTAGAATCATATCCTTTTGTTCGGTTTCGTCTTCAACGTATCCGACATGTTCAATAAGTACACTTGAAGAATTCTACAGTGACTTTTTTAAAAAGTCCTATGATAATTTTGGAAAATTATTTTCTATACGATACGACCTCCAAATAAATAAAGTATTTAACCTTCGGTTTTACATAAATTCTTTTAAAATTTATTTAATTAGGTTTATGATATCGAAAGGTTTCTTATTTGAAATATACTTGCATTTCATTCCTAAACCAATTAGATACTAAATCTGATTAGGTTTAGTTTCTACAGCTTCCCTTAATATAGGTATACCTGTTGATTCTAAATCTAACGCTGAGTGTACTATTTGTATGCTGATAGATGGGACGAGATAGGTTTGTTCTGTTATATCTATTGGATGAGAAGCTGAAAGAGTTGCTGATAGGTCACATGCAGTTATTGTATCACAGTTCTCATTTGGTTTACTAAGCTTTGATATACGGTGAATTTCCTCTGTCAAGCTGTCTACATAGTTTTTAAGATTTTTTGTTATCTTCGGTATTCACTTGCACCAAATCTTTTTCATCCCCAGAACCTAATGCGTTCAGTTTGATACTGGATTATGCGTCAGCGTTAGTATTCTGTTTTCTATTTTTGTAGATTACCTTAATATCAAATTCTTTGTAAACGAAGTCGCCATATCGTTAATTTACTATTGGATTCTTTGAGTGCATAAAGCCAGGCAAGAGGTCAGTGATCCGTATATACGTAAAACTTTTGTCCGTACAGAGGTACAGGCTAACAGTTCGTATATGATAGTGCTATAATTTGTTTCTGTGTAACTAAGGGTACGGTTGGTCTAGGTGACTGGCTTTTCGGAACCAATTGCACCTTGTGATAACACGGCGCCTAATGCGACCTAGGACGCATCTGTTGTAAATACACAGAGTTTAGATGGGTCTGGATATTGTAAAAGAGGTGTATTAATAATTAACTCTTTATATTTTAATCGAAAGCTTCTATATACGATTTGTCAATAATGATTTTATTCCTTTTCATTAAGCAAGAGGTAAGTGGTTAGGTTTAAATAAAACTAATTTTACGGATTTTATCGCGTATATTAACTTATTTTACTTTCCCGACGTTTCAAGCACTTTACAGCACCCATGGTCACGGGGGGGACTGAGGTGTATGACGTCCCAATGTCATAGTTAACCACGGCTACCTCCAGATTGAAAATAATTAATTTTTGTTCCGATCTACGCAGTATGAACTTACAGTATCATGAAGTCTTGCAGTTGTATGCTTGGGTTGGGATTTAATTTTATTAATTATGGGATCCCAAGCAGATGGTAGCACCCAGCCATCTTCTCTATTGAAATTAGGATGTTTTTTGATTTCAATAGCCTCGCGAATCATCCTTGGAAGGAATCGGTGTTCTTTAGCGAGGATTTGTGGTCTATCAAATCTAATGTAGTGACGGGGGCGATCCTGTACGTGTTCACAGACTGCAGACTTCCCGGAGCGTCTATTCTTCACATCAGCTATGTGTTCTTTAACGCGGGTTTTTATGGATCTTTTAGTTTGTCCTATATAAGAGAGACCACATTCACAATCCAGCTTGTACACTCCTGCATCTTGCAGAGGAATATTACACTTGACTGATGGTAAAAACTGACTAATCTTCTTTGGCGGCTTGAAATATGTTTTAATGGAAGCACGCTTCAAGATGTAGCCAATCTTGTCAGTGACACCTCTGACATATGGCAGTACAGCAGGCACTCGCTCGACTGTGGCCGGCTTCACTCGTTCACTGTGACGTAGGCGCGGGACCCGAAGCTTATTGTCGTGCAAAACTTGCTTGATGTGTTGGAGCTCGGCGGCCAGGTGTTTACTGTCACAGATCCCTCGTGCTCTCTGAAACAAAGATTTACCCACGGTAGCTAACTGTGAAGGATGGTGGTGAGAATCACCGTTTAAATATCTATCTGTATGGGTCTTTTTTCTATACACAGTGTGGCTCAAGGTGTTATCAGGATTCCGAATTACTAACACATCTAGAAAAGCTAAAGAATTGTTTGCCTCTAACTCCATTGTGAACTGAATTTTAGAATTTAAGGAGTTAAGATGGTCTAAAAATGCAGTTACTTTATCTAAAGGTAGAATTGTGAAAGTGTCGTCTACGTACCGCTTGTAGAATCTTGGCTTTATGGGAGAAGTAAGCAGGGCTTTCTCCTCAAAGTCCTCCATGAATATATCGGCAACAATGGGAGATACAGGTGAGCCCATCGCCACACCATCTACTTGCTTGTAGAACTCCTCCTTCCACAATAGGTAGCCAGATGTAAGGCAGTGTCTGAGTAATTCTGCATATTCTACGGGCATGTTGTTTTCCTCTAGCCTTCTAGTAACAATCGAGATGCAGTCTTCAACAGGTAGGCATGTGAACAGAGACTGCACATCAAAACTCACCATAGTTTCATTGTCTGCCAGATGTAGGTCTTTAATCTCGCTGACAAAATGGTAGGAATCCTTTGTGTGTGCTCTTGTATGTCCCTTGAGCGGTGAGAGTATATTCGCTAAGTGTTGAGCCAATCTGTAAGTTGGTGAATCGATTTGGCTCACTATAGGACGTAGTGGAGCATTGGGCTTGTGTATTTTTGGTAACCCATACAACTTCGGTGGTTTAGCACACGTAGGTATTATCGATTTTACGTCTAGATTTAATTTTTCGGAGTGTTTCTTTATGAGATCACTAGTTGTTTTAAGTGTGTTATTTGTTGGGTCATTTTTAACCTTTTTATACGTACTTGCATCCGACAAAAGTTCTTGTATTTTAGAATTATAATCTGACGTATCCATAACTACCGTGGCATTTCCCTTATCTGCGCGGAGAATCGTGAGTTCTGGTTTATTGCGTAGGTTATTCAACGCTTTGAATTCGTCTTTAGGTAGATTCGGTTTTGGCGCTGAACTTCGACGTAACATAGACGAAATGTCTTGACGTATCGCTTCCAAATCCTCCTTTTGCATATTGTTTTTAAATAAACAGTCCTCGACACTACAGATAATTTGTTCGTACGGTAATTTTTTCGGTGTTATAGCAAAATTAAGACCTTTCGATAATACTCTAATTGTTGCATCATCCAGAGTTTGTTTCGACAGATTATAGACCGCGTTTAATCTATAATCCGCGTTCGTAGTCGACGGTTGTGTTTCGTTCTCACGTCGACACAGATGTTTGACATTTAATTTGGTCGTTAATTTTTGATATTTTATTATATGTTTGTTTTTGCATTCATTATATTTATTAATTTCTCGTTTATTTAACGTTTCGATGCAAACATTATAATCAAATGTCGTTAAAACTGCCTTTAAATCACTGAATGATGTGTCTATGGATTTGTTTATGGTATGTAGATCGGAGCGTTTTTGTTGGATTACCGTTCGTTACAACTTTTTACATGCCTCATTTAAGATCTTAGCGCTTCCTCGAATGTCCACACACGTAGGGATGATATTATTATCACGACAGCGTTTTAAAAAGTTTAATGCTGTTATATATCATGCGCGCTTAGTCACGAGATCTTCTAATCGGCGAATTTTATTTGCAATTACCAGTCCGTACTGGTTCACATAATGATTTCTTATATTTACGCGAACAATACACATTTAAATAAAACTAATTTTACGGATTTTATCGCGTATATTAACTTATTTTATGGATGATGCAACAATTAGAGTATTATCGAAAGGTCTTAATTTTGCTATAACACCGAAAAAATTACCGTACGAACAAATTATCTGTAGTGTCGAGGACTGTTTATTTAAAAACAATATGCAAAAGGAGGATTTGGAAGCGATACGTCAAGACATTTCGTCTATGTTACGTCGAAGTTCAGCGCCAAAACCGAATCTACCTAAAGACGAATTCAAAGCGTTGACTAACCTACGCAATAAACCAGAACTCACGATTCTCCGCGCAGATAAGGGAAATGCCACGGTAGTTATGGATACGTCAGATTATAATTCTAAAATACAAGAACTTTTGTCGAATGCAAGTACGTATAAAAAGGTTAAAAATGACCCAACAAATAACACACTTAAAACAACTAGTGATCTCATAAAGAAACACTCCGAAAAATTAAATCTAGACGTAAAATCGATAATACCTACGTGTGCTAAACCACCGAAGTTGTATGGGTTACCAAAAATACACAAGCCCAATGCTCCACTACGTCCTATAGTGAGCCAAATCGATTCACCAACTTACAGATTGGCTCAACACTTAGCGAATATACTCTCACCGCTCAAGGGACATACAAGAGCACACACAAAGGATTCCTACCATTTTGTCAGCGAGATTAAAGACCTACATCTGGCAGACAATGAAACTATGGTGAGTTTTGATGTGCAGTCTCTGTTCACATGCCTACCTGTTGAAGACTGCATCTCGATTGTTACTAGAAGGCTAGAGGAAAACAACATGCCCGTAGAATATGCAGAATTACTCAGACACTGCCTTACATCTGGCTACCTATTGTGGAAGGAGGAGTTCTACAAGCAAGTAGATGGTGTGGCGATGGGCTCACCTGTATCTCCCATTGTTGCCGATATATTCATGGAGGACTTTGAGGAGAAAGCCCTGCTTACTTCTCCCATAAAGCCAAGATTCTACAAGCGGTACGTAGACGACACTTTCACAATTCTACCTTTAGATAAAGTAACTGCATTTTTAGACCATCTTAACTCCTTAAATTCTAAAATTCAGTTCACAATGGAGTTAGAGGCAAACAATTCTTTAGCTTTTCTAGATGTGTTAGTAATTCGGAATCCTGATAACACCTTGAGCCACACTGTGTATAGAAAAAAGACCCATACAGATAGATATTTAAACGGTGATTCTCACCACCATCCTTCACAGTTAGCTACCGTGGGTAAATCTTTGTTTCAGAGAGCACGAGGGATCTGTGACAGTAAACACCTGGCCGCCGAGCTCCAACACGTCAAGCAAGTTTTGCACGACAATAAGCTTCGGGTCCCGCGCCTACGTCACAGTGAACGAGTGAAGCCGGCCACAGTCGAGCGAGTGCCTGCTGTACTGCCATATGTCAGAGGTGTCACTGACAAGATTGGCTACATCTTGAAGCGTGCTTCCATTAAAACATATTTCAAGCCGCCGAAGAAGATTAGTCAGTTTTTACCATCAGTCAAGTGTAATATTCCTCTGCAAGATGCAGGAGTGTACAAGCTGGATTGTGAATGTGGTCTCTCTTATATAGGACAAACTAAAAGATCCATAAAAACCCGCGTTAAAGAACACATAGCTGATGTGAAGAATAGACGCTCCGGGAAGTCTGCAGTCTGTGAACACGTACAGGATCGCCCCCGTCACTACATTAGATTTGATAGACCACAAATCCTCGCTAAAGAACACCGATTCCTCCCAAGGATGATTCGCGAGGCTATTGAAATCAAAAAACATCCTAATTTCAATAGAGAAGATGGCTGGGTGCTACCATCTGCTTGGGATCCCATAATTAATAAAATTAAATCCCAACCCAAGCATACAACTGCAAGACTTCATGATACTGTAAGTTCATACTGCGTAGATCGGAACAAAAATTAATTATTTTTAATCTGGAGGTAGCCGTAGCCGTGGTTAACTATGACATTGGGACGTCATACACCTCAGTCCCCCCCGTGACCATGGGTGCTGTAAAGTGCTTGAAACGTCGGGAAAGTAAAATAAGTTAATATACGCGATAAAATCCGTAAAATTAGTTTTATTTAAATGTGTAGTGTTCGCGTAAATATAAGAAATCATTAAGTGGTTAGGTTATTTTTGTGGACTCCCAAATGAAACGGCGGTAGTAACCTATGAGCCCCTAGAAACTTTTTTGGTGGTATTTTTCGGAAGTTTGTAATTAATTATTGCCTTTACTTTGTCGTCCGGTTGTTCTTTGGAGGAGTTCTTTCCGCTAAAACTCAGGTTTATCAAGTTGCACTTTGAGGTTAGTCTGTAGTAGTCTGTCGAAAATCATGTGCAATTTTTCAATGTGTTCTTGAAGGATTTGAGATGCCACAATTATGTCGTCTAAGTAGACTAAGCGGTGGATCCCTTGCAGGCCTCTTAGAATGTTGTTCATTGTGCGTTGAAAGGTTACCTGCGCTCTATTTAAGCCGAACCGCATCCTTAAGAGCACGTAATGACCAATTTTGGTACTAAACGCAGTTTTTTATCGGTCACTTTCGTAAATTTCGATTTGATGGTAACCGCTTGCAAGATCTAAGGTCGAGAAGTATGTGTATTTGCCTAATTTGTCAAATATGTCGTTTATATTTAATAGAGGGTACTTGTCTCCTACGGTCTCCTACGATCACCTACGGATTGCCTTGTAGTCTGCGGTGAGTCGAGAAGAATGCAAGTAATCTGCGAGAGTGCCGTGAAGCAGAGGCGAGCAGTTTTAACTTAACCTGTTAAAATTGATCTCATGGATTGAATTCAACAACAAAAATCTAAGTAGCTTCCTTCGGGTTTAATTTTTAAGGTTTCAAGTTCGATATTTAAACACTCCCTAACTTCTCGAATCTCAAAAATGCTGAATTAATAATTTCTTAAACTCATCCCATGTTGTAATATCATCGCGCTCACCAACTTATTACCAATAAGGTGACTTGTTATTGTATTCATCACGTACAAATTATTTACCGTCGTGCCATTAAATTTAGTTATAACATAATCACACTTTCTTGAAATTAGATTTAAATGACATTTGTAGTCATCAAACAAAGGGATGATTTTAATCATTTCACCAGGAATAACTGTAATATTCTCCATAATTATGTATTTATTCTTTACACACAAGCAATAATAATAATTATAAAAAAATGTAAAATAAATCTAACTACCTAAATGTAACTCAAAATATAAAACTATAAGGACCCTTTCCGAGGCTGAAACATACCGATACCTGGGTATGTCACAGAACATCGGTGTAGATGAGGCGGGTATGAAACAGTCAGTTTGCGATGTGTTTTATGCACGCTTGACCAAAGAGCTTAACAGCCTTTTGTCCAGTGTGAATAAGAAGCACGTATATAACGGTTGGATCATGCCTGTTCTCATGTATACCTTTGGCATACTCAGGTGGACTCAGACCGAACTGAACGCTCTGGACAGAAAAGTCCGCACTATTATGACGTCCCACAGGATGCATCATCCGATCTCGTCAGTAATGAGGCTGTACCTCTTTGGAAAAACCTAGGGTTTTGTCTGTACGATATAGGATCAGGTTATTAAGACCAACAATTATCGGAGATACATCCTAAAGGATGGCACCGTCGACATCTGTCGAGCTTGTCGCCATCCCGATGAGTCACTTAGGCATGTCATCTCCGGTTGTTCGGCGCTTTCTAACTCTGAGTATTTGCACAGACACAACATAGTAGCCAGTATACTACACCAGGAGCTCGCTCTGAAATATGGTGTCGTGGATCGGAAACTGCCGTATTATAAGTACTTGCCGAAAGCCGTGCTCGAAAATGACCGCGCCAGGCTCTACTGGGACCGGGCCATCATCACGGACAGGACTATTCTTGCGAATAAGCCTGATATTGTGCTGATGGACTGGGCACAGTCAAGGATATTTTTGGTCGACATTACCATTCCTTATGACGAGAACCTCGTGAAAGCCGAAACAGATAAGCTGACAAAATATCTGGACCGGGTTCACTAGGTGACCGACATGTGGGGTGGATTGCCGACTGAAATTATACCTGTAGTCGTCTCTGCGAACGGGTTAATTCCAGTCTGCCTCTCGGGTCATCTGAGGCGACTGGAACTCCGTGATGGACCGCTCCAAGCTCAAATGCAGAAGGCAGTGCTCCTCGAAACCACCCGCATCGTCCGCCGATTTCTTTCCCTTTCCCCCTAACCCTCGGCCCTTTTGGTCTCCCCTGCCGAGGGTTTCCATCTGGTTGGGTTTTTATATATTTACGTATTTTTTATGTATTTATTTTATTTTATTTATATTTAAGTACGTTTACCATGTATATTTACAACTATATATTTATATTGCCCAACCAGATGAGAAAACTTAATAGATACCACATCATAACAAAATGTAAAATAATTCTAACTACCTAAATATCACTCAAAATATTAACTATAAAATGTATTTGATTAATAATAATATTTCGTTGTAAAATTAAGTTTTACCTATTCCATAAATACATGCAATATATTTATGGAATAAGTAAAACTTAAATTATATAACAATTATTTTTTACACTATTTAACCCGACTACTTTAAAATTAAAAAAGTTCCATCTCAAGAACAGAACGCCCAGGTAGTGGAAAGGATGGTGAAAAGTTTTACTTACCAGCCACCAGATGCTCTCATGGTGCAGGATCAGGACAGGACAAATTTGTTTTGGTTCGAGGATCGTTTCGGTATTTTCTTCGCGTCGTGGACCTCCGCTTCCGACAGATTTTTATATCGAATTCACGTGGGGCCAGGCAAGTTTACGGGTACGTTAAATGATTTTATAAAAACTACTTAAAATCGATTTTATTTCTAATTACAATTATAATCACTTAATTAATACGTCTTGACAGAAGTCGATCTCAAAAAGACTGGCCGCTCCCATAAGCTCTGCTTGATATCTCATGCAACCAAAAATACAAAACTGACTATGGAGTCTGAATACAGACTATAGAGATAAACGTTAGGCAGTATCCAGAAAATGTATAGTTACTGGATACTGCCTAATGCTTATACAGCCCCTTCTATGTAACAACGCTATGGTCTCGTGGTTGCATAACTACGTATAGAAATTGTCTTAAAAATAACGGTTCATATTTTTCTTTAATTATTTTTTATTTTGCTATTATATATTATATTTACATATTTTATTATTTTGCTTTAAAAATAATGTTCTATTATGTGATCTCTCTTTCTCACTTTTAAAATATTGTGTGATCGTTTGCTACGGTTAAACAACTATATAAAATTGGAAGAAAAAAATAAAGCACATGTTTTAATTGCTCATAAGACACTCACGCATGAAAATTTATTTCAAACATTCTATCCCAGCGAGAGTGCTCCACTCGAAGCTTATTACCAACAGCAGAGTACTGTATTCCGTTAGTACGGAATGAACTGAAAATTTTATTTCACAATATCTATAATGACAAAGTTCACACCCGCCTTCTAGCTGTTTCGACTAAAGAATCTAATCACTGATTACAAGCCTTAACATCAAGTAAACTCGGTATATTCCTGGATGTAAGATTGCAGATAGCTATAGGAATCCATCTAGGATCGGCGCCCTTCATCAGATCAGTGCCCTTGTAAAAGCGGTGTCGACGAGTTTGGCCTCCGCGGACTCTCGTGTAAGAAAAGTGCTGGTAGGTTCTCTGAACGATGTTTTCCGATAGGTTTTTCTCAAAATGTTTTCTCGGTTTTAGAGCCTTGATGAGTATTTATAGACGATGGCAGGAGACCCGATGGTATGATATTAGCCCTAGTATAGGAAGTTTGACACTTTGACTGAAATGAACTGAGTAAATGGCACAAATATGAATCTGAGAAATTACTATATGTTTGTACCATTTGACGTGTAGCGTGGCATCCGCGCGCGGTTAAGTTTCTTAGGGATTTTTTTTACAACTGGTTTTCACTCCAGGAGAAAAGAGGGCTGATTCTTTTTTCGCTCAATAGCTAAGTAAGCCATTTAACGAGATAACGTAGGCCGCTTTCTTGGCACTATAGCGTGGGAAGTAGGACAGTTTAATAATTTTAGTTTGTAGTTTCTTATAATGTTATAAATATTGTATAGTATATAATAAACTTCGTGATAAATTCAATGATTAGAATATTTACTCGTACATAAGTAATAAAGAAATCTCAGGCTTAAAAACCAAATCAGTGGAGCTCAGTCTGCACATTCACCCATCGCATGAAATTACCCTTACCCTCTTTGCTCGTTTGGAGGCAAGAGGGTAATTATATTATATTATCTCAACGTTTAGTATCTGTTTGGGCGTGACCTGAAATAGGATTTTTTCGAATTTATTTTTATCGCTTTTACTGTTTTATCTTCTTCAAATATAATAAAATATTCAAGGTAAGAAGATTATGAAAAGTTATATTATAAACAAATCTTAAGTATATAATGTGAACAACTTTTAACACAGAAATATACAATGTAAGATGTTTTTACTAAAAATTTTTCATGCCCCCTAATTCTAGGGTAAGAAAATTCTAGTCTAGAGAATCGGAAAAACTTTTTATTGGTAACGAGACATACTTTTTGAGTCCTCATGGGTGACGAAACATTGACATTTAGATTCTTATTCGAGGATAGATATAACTGCCTTTGGGCCACAGCATCCTCTTACAAACAGGTGTACTCTGTGGTCTCTTTTCACTTTATTAAAAATACTACACAAGCGATTTCAAACCACGGGGTTTGAAATTTAATTTTTTTAGCGGTAAGTGTATTTAATTAAAATTGTAGGTAACTTTCAAATTAATTTTGATAAGCTAATTCTAGTAACATGACGGACAAAAGGCATATAATCAGAGATGTGTCAGTGATCAACATATTCAATATCGGAAGCGA